AACAGCTGAGGCTGATCAAGATCTCCTCCAGCTGATAAAAGAGACTGCTGGTGCCACGCCCTGGTTGCAGAAGTCAACGTTCCGTTCCATTCCGTTCCATTCTTGTTCTAGTGTTGGGTCTTGTTCACGTTCACAACCCGAGAGAAGCCAACTTGGATAAGTGGTTTTGAGATAAGAGAAGCGGGTTTGCATTTTGTTATGAGTTATAGGACTTTTGCCAGAGCTATTATCTTTGTTTATTTGGGCTTGCAGCCAACAGGAGCTTGGACTGATTAAAAGAAACTTTTTGAGTTATGCGGCTTTTGGCTGTCATTCCTGGACGGAGAAAGGGGGGTCAGAACAGATCAGGTTATTTAAGGGACTATCTAACCCCAGTGGAATTGGCCCCATCCCACTTGTGCTGGCATGCCGTGGGTCCCGTCAGCCAATTGTTCTGGCTGATGGGGTCCAGGAGGAGGGCCTTCTCTGCTGTTGCTCCTGCCCTCTGGAATATCTTGCTCCCCTGATGTGAGGTTGGCACCCAGCCCTTCTATCCTTTTGTAAGGGCCTAAAGACCTGGCTCTGCCAGTTGGCCTGCAACCCCAATGTGGGAAAAAGCACAGTGGATGTGATTGATCGAGTAACCCATCCTGTTGCTATCCTCTCCATGTGTCCTTGATTTTAATCTGTGGGTTTAATTTATTCAGGTTTTAATGTAAATGTATTTTGGGTTTTGTTTTGTTTTGTTGTCTGTAACCGCTCAGAGTTACCTTATGGTAATATGGGAGGCCAATAATTTTATAATAAAATCAAATAAACTAATGCAAAGAATACTTCTTCCCCCTCAATCCTATGTTGCTGCAAATAACTTGAAAAAGTTGGATATGTTTTTCCTTTCCAAACCCAATTCTAGCAATACATACCAGGTCAATATGATTTATCAGGACCACATTCCCATTGACAGATATTTTGCTATGCACTGCCCAGGAGTCAGTTGCGGGACTTAAAATTAATCAGTTTTCTGTTATGGTAACCAATCTCAGATTGAGAAAGAACTGTAAACAAAATCCTGTAACTTTAGTTCCCAATGCCATACCTTCCTTCGGGGGGGCAGATATAACTATTATCCCACTCCCTAGAAATTAAAAGCAAAAGCTTAACAAAAGGGAAAATTATAATAATCTCCTGACATATTTTGTAATAGGCATGCAACTATGTCCAAAACATAGAAACCTTGTGGCTACTGAATAGACCTGTGTTTCATTTCATTTTTCATTTTCCCTTTATTTGTATGCCGCCCTTTTCCCTAGGGGGACTCAGGGCGGCTCACAGTTCAAAAAAAAAANATTGTTGTTGGGGGCGATATGCTGACTCTGTAAACTGCTTAGAGAGGGCTGAAAGCCCTATGAAGCGGTATATAAGTCTAACTGCTATTGCTATCTAAGAGGCCATCAGAGCCTTGCCATTTTCTGTCCAGTAACAATATTTCCCTAACTAGTTGCCCTCCCCTGCCTGAGAGAGACAGAAATCAAAATAAGTTCATGCTTGTAGTTAGTGTAAATTATAAATACATCCCGGTTTATAATTAGTGTGTGTGTTTGTGTTTGTGTTTGTGTGTGATCCTTATTTGCTCTTTTTTTCATCTTGACATAGTCTCCTTGCAAAAGCAGTGCATCTCTATCAAAGCAAGAGTCAAACAAACAAACACAGAAGTCTTTAGGAAAGCAGTTGTCATCTACAAAATCTCAGGATATCTCATATAGTTGGTCTGATGAATCTTTATCCATGACCCAATCAGGCAAGTATTAGTGCTTCAACTTCCTTTTTTAAAATCATATTTAAATTATTTTTAATGGGTCTCAGTTTTTCATTGGAATTGATGGGGCTTGAATTCTATGTAGATTACAGCATTAAATATAACATATTTGCAATTTCCCACCAATTTTCGACTTGGGAAATGAAAAAGGGAAGACCCCTGATCAGAAAGATTACAGAGAAAGAATAGGAATGGGTAATAGGAACAAATCATTTCTATCACTTTAGTTTACATATCACTTAAATTTAGAAGTTGTTTTCTGTTTTTAATAAATAAGATATAATTTTATTGTAATTATGATTGAGATTGGATTCTTAACAGTGATTAGGTAAAGTAGGTTTATGCAAATATAAAATACTTTTTCTAAACAATATATTTTATATTTTTTTTAGAAACCACATCTGATCAAAGTGACATTGAAAGTCGAATCTGGGCTCTGAAAGATCAAGTGCGGAAAAAAAAGTCTGTTGTTTATAGACTGAAAAAAGAACAGAAGAAGAGGCTCAAAGAGAAACTTAAAGCTCAAGAGGCAAGTTTGATCAAACAGTTAGAGGTAAGAATTAATTTGAAAGAAATGTTAAATAGAATGTGTGTATATGTTACATAGTGATATTCCCATGTTTTCTTTTGCCTCGTTTTCTCTGAATATTTTTTTCCTTTTCAGTTTGCTTTGATACTGATAGTAATATAACAATATTGAACAAAAACAAAATCTATCTTCATAGGTTAAATTATATAATAATCATGATTTGTATATCTTATACACACACATGCATGCATGCACACACACAATTCCAAATTTCAATATTCAATACGATTAATACTTGAAAACAAATTTAATAAAGAATAAGATAATGTTTAAGTCTTCCTAATGTCTTTTTTTTTTGTACATCATCAGACCTATGATGAATTCATCAAGAAAACGGAAGAAGAATTGAATCGGGATTTGGAGACAACACCAACAGCTAAACCTCAAATCAAAACTCCAACCTCAGTTCCTGAGAAACCAAAGATCAAACCCCCACCACTTCACAGGTAAAGTAATGGCTTAAAGTTAATGCATGATGGCCTTTCTAAATGTACGCCTTTAGGAGCCTAGAAAGAGTTTGTGTCTCTTTCAAGGGGAGGAAACTTATATGCATGCATATTTATCTGAGATGCTGATCAAAAGAAATATTTGGATGAATTCATGCTAAGAGACTGACCAAATAAATTTTGGTATGTAATTTTGTATGCAGAAATACATGTGCCAGAGGAAAGAGGGTATTATAAGTTAATAGAGGTTTAAGAGAAGCCAGGTTTGCATTTTGTTATGAGTTATAGGACTTTTGCCAGAGCTATTATCTTTGTTTATTTGGGCTTGCAGCATCTCA